GGACGTGGGCTGGGTAAATGGGGTAGGGAACCCTCAAGTTGTGGCAGAAAAGAGTCAGACAAATGAGAGCGTGATCGATGCCGCTCTGCCGAACACACACATAGACCAGTGGATATTTCTGCAACACACACACACACACACAGACAAAATGAGAGGACACTTCAGCGCAGTCAGAAATACAGTTGAGCGGTAAGTACATACTTGAAAATTAACCTGTAAATGAACTGTTTTTGTACTTCAGAAAATGGCTCTGAGATTGTGTTTCCAGACCCTTTGTACCAACTGTGCTAATATCCCCGAACTTCTGGTGCCTCCTTATTTAATATAAACATTGAGACCCAAGAGCAGGTTAAAGATTACAATAACCCTATTATAGCAAACACAACATCGTTCATCATAACTCTAATCAAGTACTCTACCCATAATAATCTACTTATAAAACAATCATAAATTATGTATACCTAGAGTCCACACAGCAAAAACTTCAGTTGCAAAACAGAAGTTTTTTTTTATACAGACAGAACGAATATGGCAAATATTACAAAATGTGACATTAGACGGTGTATAAATTATTAATTTTTTTCTTAAAGGAACAGTTCTCCCAAAAATTCTGTCATTATTTCTTCACCCTCAAGTTGTTCTCTTTTGTGTTCTACTATGGAAGTCAATGGCTACCGGCAACTGTTTGGAACAACTTGGGGCTGAGTAAATGATGACAGAATTTTCATTTTTGGGTGAACCATCCCTTTAAGTGACACTGCCCAACAGTGACACCAGTGGTTACAAGCAGTGGTGGACAGTAACGGAGTAGTTTTACTTTTACTAATTTTTCAAGTATCTGTACTTTACTGGAGTAGTTTTATTTTGAGTAACTTTTACTTTTACTTCATTAAATTCCAAAGCATAAGATCGTACTTTTTACTTCACTACATTTCATAAAACATACCGTTACTCCTTATAATATATCACGTGCTCCGAGACGCAGAAGCGGTGTCTTATTCAAGAACGAACTGATTGTTTTGAATTAACCTTTTAAATCGGTTCGCAAATCGCACCAAACGATTCAATCACGAATTAGAATGAACCGATTGCAGCTGTTCTCGAGTCGACAACTCACTGATTCAAATGAACCGTTTAGTGCACATGGTAACTACAGTAATTATCAAAGTGGGAAGTGATGCCCTCGGGGGGCATTTGGCCAGGGGTGGTTTTACACCGCAGACAAGGTTTGAGAAGAAAAAAAATCATTATGAAAATATAATGATATTTTCCTTATTATATTCATTATTTCCTTATTGGTTATTTTGGTAAAATCCCAGGTATTTTGAGCAATAGGATTATAAAAAAATATATGCTAATATAAAATTAAATGATAAAAGTAGCCTATATAAAACTGCAAAATAAATATTCATCTATCAGTACTTTTTACTTAAGTAAATAAAAAACCAAGTACTTTTGTACTTTCACTCGAGTAAAATTGAAAACTGAGTACTTTTACTTTTACTGGAGTAATATTTTATTATACGTATCTAGTATCTATACTTTTACTCAAGTACTTGATTTGTGTACTTCGTCCACCACTGGTTACAAGTGACAGCAGGAGGTGGTGTCTCTCTTGCCTACCGTTTCTATGGTTGCAAGGGGTCATGGACTTCCTTTATTTTTTATTTTGTACTGTTCTGAGGTCCACTTATAATGTTATCAAGACTTCTACATCAAAAAACATCAAACATCACAATTTAGAAGTAACAGGCTATTTTCTGTCATGTTTTAAGCCCCCTCATCAGAATGCTCTGCTTGAATAGGTGTGGCAGATTGTAGACTCGGAAGTAAATTCTCACTGCTATGATTGGCTAATAGTTGTGTATGTGTGTTTGACAGCCTGCATCCTTCATAGATGGACGCTGCTGTGATTTAGGGTAAAAACGCATAAATACTTGATACATAATACATTATCTGTAATAACACAGCAATAGTGACCACATAATAAAAACAGTTACTCACACTTGTGTGCTGCGACATCGGATCCAATATTGTCACACAGCATCGTCTTTTAGTTTAAATCTTTCTAAAAATTCCATGTCAAATTTTGCCTTGTTTGTAAACGAATCCGCAGTAAAATTAAATGAACAATAGCCAAGTTCTTACTGACGCGGTCTGGTACTTCATTAAAAATAAAAGTTTATCGTTTGGTTTCTGTGTAAACCTGCATTTTCCTCTCTTGCTATTGACCTACTATGTGCGCGATTCGGTGGGCGGGGCTAAATAGGCAGCGATGTAGAAGCAGGCGTTTATCTTCTGTGGAGGCGGTGTTTAGCCACATTATTACATCATAGAGTAGTACATTACACAAACTGTAATTTTGGCAGATTGGCCTCAATATAACCAGTTTTTAGACTAACTAGGAAGAACGACTGAGTTCTAAAACTTACAGAATGTTTTTATAGTACAATGGCCTCTTGTATGTCAAAGAATCGAGGGAATTTTGGTTTCTCAGTTCATGACCTCTTAAAAGCAACAAGTCAAAGCAACAGAGCTATACACAACAAGCGCTCAGGAACGTTTATGGTAATTCGGCACTATATTCGCTAATATTTTTATCTATAGCCAAACATGATTCATTATTTTCCTCTATGTGGACGTAGCTTCTTTCCCCTGGTAAAGACGTACTGTAAAGCTCTAGCTGTAGATGTGGTTATTTTAACTACAGAAAACGAGAATGCCGCAAATATAGTTATTTTTATCTATAAAAGTAACCATCTACACTCATGAGATCAGAACAAAAACATCTAGAAATTGAAGTATATAGCTTGTTTTAAGGATACTTTAATATTTTTACTGGAAAACAAGGAAACAATGTTGATAATAAATAGGATTTTTGCATGATACATTCTGAATTCTTTCAAATTGTATTTTTGTGGAGTTAGACTGAGTGGTGCAAAAATGTATCTGTGCTACTCAGGTGGGCGGTGAGTATCTGATCTGCAGGTGAGCTCAATATTTTCAGGAGTGACACACATGGACTGAGGCCAAAGAGATGATTTCTGGTGGTGTTGCGGGATGGATGTTTAATTGGTTATAAAATCAGACAGCAGATGAGGTCTAATCAGTTCTGTGATGTTTTGTTTCATATTATACTTGCACCAATTGAATGGTACAAAAAAGCTTTTCAAAGTGTGCTTTTACTTCCATATAAAGAGTTATGTGTGACCAAAAGCCTGAGGTGGAAAACCTGACTGCAATAAAAATAAATGTGTAAACCGGATAAATGGAGCAATAGGTTGAGAGAAGGAGAAAGAAAGAGGCACACACAAAAAGAGCATTTTGATATAGAGAGCAGCCTTCAGCTTCATATATTTAAATCGCAATATCATACAGCAAAATCGAGAATAATTGAGTTTGGTATAGAAAAACACTGCAAATGTGGGGAAAATAACTAAATAAAAAAGGAGAAACTTGAAGAAAATTTGTGGTGAAAGAAGAAAAGCAGTAAAGGCTAATGAGATACAGGAAGAATGAAAGCATGCATTGTCATGTATGAATCACAGGATGCCTACAGGGAGGAAAACAGGTTATATAAGAGAATGGGGTGAAGGAATAAAGCCTAGATGTGTGGTTACCAGTTGTGTAGCGCGATGTAAAGCTGCCATCTGGTTGAGGTTGACCTGTACACTGCAGAAGATCAAACTGAAGAACTTCAGCAGCATCCAGCTCACCAGCCTGAAAGAGAGTTCAGTGAGAAATCAGTTGAAAAAGTTAAAATATCTATATGCAGATGCACAGCTGGCATGATGTGGCAAGCTGCACTGACATTCCGCCCTTCATAAGCGCTCTGTAATTATCTAGTGCAGTTATGCAGCTTTCGTGACCTCATATGAAGTCAACCTCAAACAAACTGCAAAAAAGCAGTTAAATGGTGAAAAATACTTGTGACACTGAGCATCTGCACTCATTTGTACAAGTTTTCTTATTTGCTTAGTGACCAAGAAATGCATGAGGTTAAATATTTCTTCATTTGATATTTCCTTGAACTTCAATCCTACTTCAAAACACTTTAAATTGGATTTTAAATCTCAGATTTTCAATGTGGGTCATTTTTTAAACCTAAAGAAGTGTGACTATTTAAAGGTGACATATCATGAAAATCTGACTTTTCCAGGTTTTAAGTTGGGGATCAGCAGCTAATTTGCATTTAAAGAGACAGGCCCGAAAAACAGTGTGTTTCTGCTTCCACTCAAAATAGGCATTTTCAAAATGTTATAATAAATGATCTGTGGAGTATTTTGAGCTGAAACTTCAGACACATTCTGGGGACACCAGAGACTTATATTACATATTGTAAAAAGGGGCATAATATGCCTCCTTTAAAATTTCTGTTACACTTGGAATGCTGAACATTCTATTATTAAAGTTTACAAAAACCAAAAATCCACCTCAAACATTCAGCTGAAAAGAACTGCAGAAGAATGAACAGGTGATTTGCTTTCAGAATGAGAATTGCGTTCAGACCTGAGTAGCCAGGGGGAGATGAAGGTCTGTGTGATGGTCAAAAGTCTGCCTAAATTACTTCTGACTTCAGGCATCACCTGCTCCATCGCCTTGATCTCATCTGGTGAACATGCCGTCATCAAAGCCTGCCTCACTCTGGGTAAAAACACACAGAGTCACAGGACAACAGGCCACAGAGTAAACAAAGGGGATATTGTGTGATGGATCATCACATAAATACCATGTAAACACACCAAAACCGCTTATGCCTCCAGAGTGAAAAACACACCAATGCTGTTTGGGACTATAAAAGGTTATTTAAATGTTAGGGCCCAAATTGAGTTAGATAAATGGACGGAGGGTGTGGTAACAGGGTTGAACCAAGGTAAAAAGCAAAGAGAAAAGCTAACATGGCATAATGTGGCATACGGAACTTGACAGCTAAATTAAAATGAATGCCATTCCAGTAGTGATGGGTCACAATTGGCCAACAGTGCTCTGCTGAACTGTTTTTGAATGCAAGAATGCTCTCCTCAGAAACGCATTCAATCAAGGTCAGGTAAATCCAGTTCTAGTCTAGTGACCTTATACAGGGCTTCATTAAGATCGAACTTTCAAGCAACCAAGCGGCCAGTCCAAGAGTTTTCAAACTAGGGCCTGGCTCTTTTTCGAGTTCCTAGAAAAAGAGCTTTTACAAAATGTATTTTTAGGTCAATTAAAGGTAAAATGTTCACATATGATAAATTTATTTAAAGTTATATTTTCTAACACACTAATTTTGATATTTGTAATAAATTTTGCATTCTGTTTCAGGATGGATCCATAATTCTGAGATTATTTTATTTTACTCCATTGACAATGGTTTATTCTATTGCAATTATTTTATTCTACTGACAGCCATAGTTTTTAACAGTAAGAAATACAGTTTTGTGAGTTCACAGTGTTTTGTTGTACATTTTAACTTTAACTCTAATAAAGAATAGAAAAAAGACAAAATTATGTTTAATTTCTTAAGTTACTAATACTATGTATTAAATATTTACAAATAATATTTAACAATTTGCTTTCATTTTCATGCAGTGAAAATATAAATAGCTGATAATAGAAACTTTAAGTTTGGACACACCATGTTTTTATAACATGTTTGCTATTTTGCTTCACATAGTATAGGCTGGTCTTTATGCTGCATTTATATTTTACACTCAAAAATTAATCATATGTTTATTTTTAATTGTTAGCATCTATTTGATTTTATTTAAATAATCATATTTTAAAAAATTATTTACTCAAACTTGACATCTGTCAAATGTGAAAATTTGATTGAATTATTCAAGTATAAAAGCATTAAGTATTCTTATTTGTAATGCACATTTGCCAGTCATAAATAAAATATTAAATTTATTAGTTTATTTTAAAACTGTAATCTAAAGGGATGGAAATTCTATGTGCAATAAAAAATATAGCAAAAAGAAAATACAGCCAAAAAAGTAAAAAAAAAACCTTTGTACTGGTCAGCATTGACAATAGTTAGGTTTGCACATCTCTGCCTGCAATCTAATGTAATGTTAGATTAAGTGGCTACCAATCTTCTATATTAACAGAGGAGAGAGAAATCTGAATTTAATCTCAATGGGAGCCTCAAGGGAGTGCCTCTCAATCCTCAAATGCATCTCTCTCTGCTCTCTCCCTCTCTCTACACGTGGCATGTCATCTAATCAGTGAAGAGTGCTCAAGCGAACCGCACCTCTCGCTGCCATAGACTCTGTGCCGCCTGTCTCCAGCAGGGCTGGGGTGAACTTCACAGCCCCATACAAACAGCAAACAGCACACCCTCCTTACTAACCAGCCACGGTACCTGAAAACACACACACACTCACACAATACACTCATGTACGCCTACTCTCTTTTACCCGATTAGCAAAATAAAAAGGAGCCCTTGTGTAAATAGATAGTCTCACTCACATTGGGACAATGAAAACAATCGCTGGCCAATCAGCAATAGGTGAATACATCATATTCTCAGCATAATCAGGCTCCAAAATGTTAAATTAGCTCAGCCAACGAAAGAGTAGGCTCTGATCTGGGACTATTAATTCAAGCCGAATGAAACGCTTCAGCAGGATTTGCAGCGCTTGGCTTCTGACACTTTCTAAAGTGGAAGGTGATTGAGAAGATAAACCGGGTGCTCACAGAGTCTGCCTCTGTGTGTTTTGATGCAGGAGAGACAAATCCCATTTATTTGCTTTAAAGGGGTCATATGATGCTTTTTTAAAGATCATTATTTTGTGTATTTGGTGTAACAGAATATGTTGACATGCTTTAATGTTAAAAAAACACATTATTTTTCAAATACTGTACATTCGGTTAAGACAGCTGACTCTACTGTGATGTGACACTGTCTCTCTCTCTATCTCTCTCTCTCTCACACACACACACACGCGAACGCGCGCACACACACACACGATGCGCAAAACTCCGCATTTGAACAGTCAATAGCAAATACTTAAACTAGTAACAAAACATACTTACAGTCGCTGATTCAGAAGCGCCAGATTGTCATAGCAAAGTCAGAATTACCTCCTCTCCTAGGTTCATGAAACGGTCGTCCATAAAATGCATTGCTGTTCTGTTGTAAGTGATCTTAAAGATTCCTAAATGCATCTACTTTCGGAAGGCCAAATAAAGTGCTTTTGCTTTCGCCTAGAAACACACAGCGTCTCCCTGACATGGCTGCATCAACACTAACTGCGGTTACTGAAACCACGCCTTCTTTCTTTGCGTGCACATTTGGGCGCATTATGCAAATATTCCCACATAGTGACCTAGATATGTGGGGGCGTGTTAGAACGAGCCGTTTTAGGGGGGCGTGGCAGAGTCTTAACTTTGATAAAGAATATCTCTTTGGTTTTGAGACTTTAGTCTTTGCAACTTTAGGGATCTTATCTATGCACAATCAGCTTGTAACACTCCAAAGAGAAAGGAAAACTTGAAATCGCATCATATGACCCCTTTAACAAAGTGTTTTCTTGGAAGTTAGAAACTTTTCTTTATGAGTCCTCTTTCTTTTCAAGGAAACAATGACTGCATCACCACACGTCAGGATCTGTCAGCAATAGCCACAAGAGTGCCATCTGCTTTTAAATGCAGGGGTGAACCCTGTCAATCATTTTTCTGTTTGTGTGTGGTCAGAATTACACAAGTCAGTCCCAAACTCAAAACAGATACTGGCATACTATCAATCGCATTAACTTTTTGCATAGAAATATGGATAAATTGGATTCACATCTAGACGAAACAGTGATTATTAATATCAAATTAACCAAAATTTTATTTAAAAAATCCCATAAATCACTCCCATAAATTTACAAAACATTTGTTTTCCTGATGTGTGTCTTGTTGGGAGAAATTGAAAGTACATCTACATTTTCATTAGCTGTTTTCAAAATATTCTAGGTTTTCCAGTAACAAGCTAATTTTTCCAACCAGCATCATGACAAAACGCTCCATTGCTGGTTTAATTATGTCATATTACATTTTGCTCACAATTTTAGAGACTATAAATCAAACACAATCTCCTGAACTCTCTCAAGCATTAGGAAATCCAATTTATCTTGATGAATCTTAGTTTTATGTGTTTTTGTAAGGACGTATTTATTTGCTGCTGTTCATCACTGTTTTCTACTTAGTTTGGTATATATTGTATTTTTTTAGTTTGATTTGGTGTAAATGATTGAAGAAATCTGAAAAAGTCTTTTGAAAAAGTCTACAAAATTAGTAATCAATGTATCAGTGATGTCACCTTAACGGATATCAATATGTTGTATTGTGATAGACATACTGATCATAATAATTTATGATGTTAGTCATACACTAAATTCCAAAAGTTTAGGGTTGGGAAGTTTTTTTCATGTTTCTTGAAAAAACTCTCACACCAAGGCTGCATTTATTTAATCAAAATACATTAAAAACAGTAATAAGGTGACATATTACAAATAATGTTTTCTATTTGAACATACTTTGTAATGTCATTTATTCCTGTGATGCAAAGCTGAATTTTCAGCATCATTACTCCAGTCTTCAGTGTCACATGATTCTTCAAGAAATCCTTCTAATATGCTGATTTGCTGCTCAAGAAACTCTAATATTATTATTAATATCAATGTTGAAAACACTGCTGCATACAAAGTTCAAAAGAACAGCATTTATTTGTAGAACTCTTACATAGCATCAATGAAGTTAGTTACTTTTTGTTAGTAGCTTGTAGTGAAGCCAAGTACTTTATCAAAACAGTAGTTTGACTGTAGCTGAACTACTTTAAATGACTAGCTTGTGCATGGAAAGCTGCAGCTTCAAAGTATCTTCCCAGCACTGCTGTGTGTGTTCATGGCCGATGTGACTCAAAAAGAGTACCCTTTCACAAAAGGGTAGCGGGGTTGTGGAAACCACGCTCGATTGTGGGTCTGCGATGTAAAAAATGAAGAGAAAGTTATTCTAGGGCTCTTTATTTTGTGACTGAAGTGCATGTGCCAGGCGTGCGAGTCAGAAACGCAAACAGTAATTACACTCGAGCAGTTTGAAGCCGGAGTTGAGAGATGCATTGTTATTTTAATGGGCCGGATAGGGAGGGCTTGAGTCGAGTGAAGGATGTGCACTTACCCGGTGCGTGTCTCGTTCACACACGTCAGGTTCTGAAAGCCCAGAGGAGGAGTGTTACGCAGCAACTTCAGACCCTGAGAGTGACAAGAGGATATTTGATCAAACTTGATGGAGAGCGCGCTAACCAGCCTCCATCACAGTTCAGAGAGTCTGTTCTGCTGTCCTATATAGACTGAGATAATGACACACTTTAGGGAAGCCTTTTAGTGCTTAAAATAGCACCCTATTAGTTCCACTATAAATCACAGCCTGAAAGAAATGCCTCAATAAAATACTTCCAAGATAAAATGTTTCTCAAAATACGTTGACATGCAACTCAGTTTTAAAAAAGCTAGTTTCTGATATAGTTTCTATATTTTTGCCTATTTTTACTTTTTACAGAGATTGAGAAAGTGACAAATTGACTCTGGATATGTTACAGTCCAGGTGTAAGACTTGATCACTTGCATATATAAAAAAAATTTGAATTAAAATAAATAAATGCTGGTTGTGTAACGTAATGCAGACAAAACAGTGTCTTTTAATCTCAGTGACAGGGTTAGTTTAAAGTGATAGTTCACCCAAAAATGAAAATTTGATGTTTATCTGCTTACCCCCAGGGCATCCAAGATGTAGGTGACTTTGTTTCTTCAGTAGAACACAAACGAAGATTTTTAACTCAAACCGTTGCAGTCTGTCAGTCTTATAATGGAGGTGAATGGGAATCACGGCTTTGAGAGTAAAAAAAAACATACACAAACAAAACCAAATTAAACCCTGTGGCTCGTGACGATACATTGATGTGTAAAGACACAAAACGATTGGTCTGTGCAAGAAACTGAACAGTATTTATATAGTTTTTTTACCTCTGATTCACGCAATGTCCGAACTGTCCTGAGTGCGTTCGCGTCCTCCTGACCGCGTTCTCAACAGCCGGCGCGTCTTTCAAATGGACCATTGACACTCCTAATTGAGATTGTAGATAGAGTGTCAATGGTCCATTTGAGAGATAGGTGGCGGTAATGCACTTATAAGTCTGCGATCCGCCGTAAAGCAAGAAGAAAAAGACGACGCATCATGCGCCGGCTGTTGAGAACGAGCTCAGGAGGACGCGCCGCCGCTCAGGACAGTTCGAACAGTTCGGACATTGCGTGAATCAGAGGTAAAAAAACTATATAAATACTGTTCAGTTTCTAGCACAGACCGATCATTTTGTGTCTTTACATATCAATGTATCGTCACGAGCCGCAGGGTTTAATTTGGTTTTGTTTGTGAATGTTTTTTTTTGCTCTCAAAGCCGTGATTCCCATTCACCTCCATTATAAGACTGACAAACTGCAACGGTTTGAGTTAAAAATCATCATTTGTATTCTACTGAAGAAACAAAGTCACCTACATCTTGGATGCCCTGAGGGTAAGCAGATAAACATCAAATTTTCATTTTTGGGTGAACTGTCCCTTTAAGTGAGCTACCGTAAAATTAGTCTTTCAAGCGTCTGTATCAGCTCCCAACAATTCATCACTAAAAAGTGTCTAGAACAGACGTATTTGAGAGGCTGTGAATATAAGAGTTGGGAGTGGAGTACTAATATGCATTTTATTTTTGGGTTGCCATTTAGGTCAACCATAGCTAACATGATCACAGCCCTCGCAGCATCAGCCCTCTTCAAAGCTCTCAAACAAACTAAGACTAATTTACTTATCAATAAACTTTTGCAAATTAATAACTTTTGTGTATTATCTTTTCTGTGTAGCAGCATATAAACCACTTGAAATTAAAGCGTTAGTTCCTTGAAATTCAAGGGTTAGTTCCTCAAAAGTGAAAACTATCATATTTTTTAGAATAAACCAAAATGTAAGTCACTATTGGCTGTAAAAATGTATTTTTTTGGAAATAAACTAATGGTTGCACTACTGTTCAGAAGTTTGGGGTCAGAATGTTCTTTGATTTTTATGAAAATGGTTAATATTTCAAATAAATTATTTTCTTTTTAACCTTCTATTTATCAAAGAATCTTAAAGTCACAAAAGCATAAATGTTTCCAACATTGATAAGAAATGTTTTTTTAGAAGCAAATCAGCATATTAGAATGATTTCTGAAGAATCATGAGACTAAAGCAATGATGCTGAAAATTCAGCTTCCCTAGTGAAAAATTTAAATATATTAAAATGTGTTTGAAAGACATTTATTTCATGCTAAGTATACTACAAAAGCATTTACATATTTATGTACTTAATAAAAAAAATTCTGCAATTGTACTTTTGGTATACTAAACTGGCATATTTAAAGTCTGCTAAATTGGAACAACTAATTTTGTACTTAATGCACTTTAATTGTGAGGAAGTAGTGCTGAAGTCCAACTAAAGATATACTGAAGTATATTTGATTGTGCTGAAGTGGAACTATTGCAAGTATACTTCAGGTACACTTTAAATATCTTGCATTTATATCTTGCATAAATATCTCTAGAAATGTGTATTGTGCACAAGTGATACTCCAAATAAAGTTTAATACATTTTTATATCAGTAAGTCTCGAGCGATATGTCACTAAATATGTTAATAGATTTGAACTATACTTAGTATGAAATGTATTTTAAATATATATTTTTTTTAGGGTTTGCATCACAACAATAATAATTTGGACTTTAAAATTATTACATTTGAAAACATTATTCTAAACAGTTTTTTTTTCACAATATTACTGGTTTTACTGTATTTTAGCTAAGATAAATGCAGCCTTGGTAAACAAATCAGACTTTTTAAAAGATTGTAAAAAATTACTGACCCCATACTTTTGAACAGTATTTCAATATGGCGAGTTAAGACGTGCTGCGCCAGATTTGACGACAATAAACTGAAAAAGTATTAATGTTTCTACTGCAGAAAGAAAATGTGTCCACTGGGACCAGTGCTGCTGGAAACAAGCTTAGTCATCTGCAGTTTTCTAAAAAGCCTCTCATAGCACGGGGGGGAACTATGCTCTTGAGTGTTCATTATTTTTCTCTCCACTCCTAATCCCTTTTTTCGTGCTATTCCTACCGTAAGTAACATGTTCGCTTGCTCTCTGAAATCCCTTTGATCGTCCCTCATGATATGGGTTTGTGAAAGCAGCGTCTGAGGTTTTCAGGTGAGCCTAAATCTGTGTACTTCCCCATCTGCCTCTGGCTGTTTGTCCTTTTATTATCTTCAAATAATCTTTTCATCCCTCTCGTTTTCTCACCAGACTCTCCGGGGTGCATTGGTGACAGCACTGTCCAACCAGCGGCCTGAACCTGCCCAGGAAAGGAGCCATGCTTTTCAACTTCCTCTTGATTTTCACACCCCACGACAGCTACCAAAGAAGAAACACACACACACAGAAACATATAAAAGGGTTTGCTGGGACACAACGAACGGAATAAACCAACCGGCGTTGGGAGTGATAAAACCATCAGCACTTTTTCCACGTATTTCAAGCTGAGATAAGAAACAATGCTCTAGCCAATAGCACGGCTCTTGTTCTTAACGCCGGGATGCGACATGTTCCAATTTTATCGCTTCTATCATTGCTCCATTTGTTTCACATTTCCCAACATCAAAGCAGGACGGATCGATGTTTGAATGCAAACTGTACAGTGAGGGGAGGAATGTGAAATCTATTCATGAGTGGTTTCTACAAAGGTGTCCCAATTGAATCGCAATCAATTTGGGCCTTTGTGACAGAATGGCGTCCCCTGAAAGATTTCTACTGAAGAGGACATCCATTTAAATTGATACTAATCATAACATTTTAGCACAGACGGATAAGAGACATGGCTGGAGACAGTAGGACTGATTGATCATCATTCAGAGCCGTCTCAACAACAGACGCTATTACAAAGTCTCTAATCATCATCTGTGTGGGAAATATCACTTACAGCAATCAATTATTAAATAAGACTGCATAATGGATAGGGGCTCCAGCACCCAGGTTAATTCTTTTAAACTCCTTTTCAATGGAAAATAATTTCTGCTGGTAATGTTTCATTAGCTCGGGCTCACAGACACCCGGTGTCTGTCTTTGGAGTAATAAGAGCATGAGAATATAGTCTGATGTCCAGAGGAGCTGCATTAGGCTGTAATGTTTTTATTAAAATTCGCTACCGCTCATATTTCAGATCAGATAAGAATCGAATACTTTCGTTTTAGGAGTAAAAGAGAAATATTAGAAAACAAATAAAAATAAAACCACAAATTATACATAAAACCGTTCAAAGTAACTCACTAAATATTTAAATGGTTAAAAAAAAAGTTTTTTTTTCACATTGAGATGCAAAAGACTAAGATGCATTAACAAATATCTAATTTCACTTTAAAACATTTTTCACATCACACCTTTTTGAACCATTTTAAACCATCTATGAAGGTGGTTTGGCACGTGCTTGTAAAATTTTTAATTCATGTGTTTTTTTCCTGTTGTGAACAAGGCCTAACTAGAGATTTCTAAACAGACACCGCTGGGAGTACTTAATCATGTTCTAAGGGGACCTTTTGTCACATCTTTGGCTAAAGGTGAAGCATATAATATTTCAATTTAAACACTTTCTGACTGGTGATGCAGCAAATGTATGTACATAGAAAGCGTTTTCCATTAATTCCCTAGACTCTGGAGGCCCACCACAGTTTATACATAATACACTGAAACTATTTGGTCCCTTCTCATAATAACATAAATGATCTTTAATCTCACAAATCTAGTGTTTTGTGCAATTGCTTTGGAAAAGCGTCTTTGAATTGAACTAAAATCAGAATCGCAATATGGCTTACTGTGCTTATCAAATTGCAAAAGGCTGTGATTTAATTAAATAAGCACATAGTCTAATGCGCTGAAGGATTCAGAGCGATGTGCGGCATGCAAGCAGCTCATGAGCCAATGTTTTTATTGTATCGTGTTCACAGTAAATCTTTCCACTCTCCCATGGGCTGTGAGTTCAACATGCATTTGGCAACACAATGCACTTTTTTTTTTGTGGATAGGTGATACCAGCTATTAACAACTATTATTATCAGAAGATAAAAAATGTAGGGCAGGTTCTATTCATTGGTTGTTGATTACAATTTAAGGTGCATTCAAAAATGGAGGCAGATGAATGTGGGCTCGCAGTCAATTGTAAGAAATGCACAGGGTTTAAGAGGACTAGATGATTGGAGAAGTCCTGCATGCTTCACCATAGAGAAATCTGCCTTCCAGTTTGACATTTTGATTAAACGTTACAAGGTCAAGAAGAAGAAAGAAATATATGCACAGATGAACTGTGTACAGTAAGATCATTTACAAAATAGAAACGTGATGCCTTTTCATGATGACTAGGGCTGGGTTTTGACACAAATTTCACTATTCGATTCGATTCTCATTCACTAGCTTGCGATTCGATTCGATTACCGATTAGATTAGATTCAATATCGATTATTTCACGATTCGATTCGATTCTCATTCACAGGCTTGCGATTTGATTCAATTAGATTCAATATCGATTATTTTGGATATATATCAGGTACAGTACATGCCAAATTTTCTCAAGGAAAAAAAAATCTCTCAACTAATGTTGTAAAATATACACGAGAGTCAGTTTGGTACTACATTACTATAATATTGAAGGTTAAAATTAACTGATTTGTTACGTTCCGTCCCCTTCAACATTCCATCCATTAACTGAAAACAGGCTAGACTAATCGATTCTTGGGATTTAAGAATCGATATCGTTCCGTAAAAATGAGAATCAATTAATATCGAGATATCGATATTTTTTACCCAGCTCTAATGACATTTAAAAAAAAAAGAATAATAAAAAAGCAAGTGAAGAAATTAAGACCTAAGTATTTTACAAATGTAGTGTAAAATAAAATAATTTAAATACTTATAAAACATTCATTTTTATTTTACACTGCAGTTGTATTACAATAGTACAATTAATTATTATTATCATTATCATTATTATTCAAGAGAATAATTATTGGTAGAGAACACCAAAACCTTTATGTTCCTCTTTATTATATCACGATGAAAAGAACTATATTTCATGTTTGATGTCACTGTTCAGCACTTGGACCATCACTGACACCAAACCTCAAAAAAATAAAACAAAATAAAATAAATAAATAAATAAAATGAAATGAAATAAAAATGGGAACACTACCCTAACAAATCGTTTTGTACAAAAAGTCTGTGTGGTTCTGCGCCCACTTGCATTACCTAGAATTGTCATGGCTCTGTGCAGAAAATGTTCTCTCCAACCTAAGACTGAGAAAAAAAACAGGAAAAATGCTCATTGAACCCTTGCTCAGAAAACTACGTGCATTTCCGAGTAATACAATAATTTGGTCGAGCCACCATCCGGTTATTACTTGGTGCAAAGCAACAACTCCATCTAATCTGAAAAGTTTTCAATCTCACTCATGACCAGGTGAGTACATCTACGTCTTGCATCAATTATATATATATTTTTAAAAATTATATAACGAGCTCACAAAGGTTACACATGATTGACTCCTGACAGCGTGTGTGTGTGAGCGTTTTGGCCGTGTGTGTGCATTCATTAACAGAAGCCAGAGTTACCTTATGCTTACCTGGTGCTGTGCTTTGAATCTGATTATGATAATCACCATCATTACAAACACAGATAACATTTTTCAATCTGATACAGCAACGTTAATGAACCAGTCAAAAACGGAATACATTTGAGGTCATTTTCATCAGCTTTTGATAGGACGCAGCTTCTGTGGGAATTTATCAAAGAGCTTTCTGACTTTGTTCACACCGCATCCAATTTCAGCTTGTTTTTCAAACAATTTGCAATTGATGAAATCTGATCTTTATGTTCAGACAGTGACGTCACCATCTACAGCGGTTGCCATAGTAATGACATGGCCAGGATGAACTACTTTGAAATTTAATATGACCGTTCGCCAATTTTAGTCACATTTTGTGCTCATTTATTGCCGTTCACATAAACCACTAATAAGATTTGAACTGGATACAGAAAAAGATTTGTTCTGCCTACCTGAACAAAGCTTTTGTCGTCTTCAATGTTCTTTTCTCATCAACAAATGAGAATCAGCAAAGACGTATGTCACATTCTTATGTTTCCCGCTCTATTACACAGTAGCTCATTATTTGTGTTATGAATCCAACCTGCCCTAGAAAAAAAGGACTACTAGATGATCAAAGACCTAATCAAGAACCCTCAAGTGGACTGACTCTGAGGTAATCTACATACGAGTACTGTTCAGGTGAACTGAAAGTCAGCATCTCTTAGGGGGTAAACCAACACTGCCAACAACAGCTGGGAGAAGATGGGATGGCGTTTAGACTAATCGTCTGCAGCTGGTCTGAGTTATGAATTCAGTTATGTTCTAGAAAGTAGGTGGATTTGGAGAGAGATGGGATGAGTGAAAATATGACATTGAGAGAGGTCCTTGGGTCTGAGATGAATGTACTGTTGACAGATTTTATGCTGTCTATATAGCATATACTGTATAATGACTGGACAATACTGACAGCTCAAGTTCAGGTCAGTACGATTTTTGTTTTGAAAGAAATTAATGCTTTTATTCAGCAAGGATGCATTAAATTGATCAAATGTGTCAGAAATTTCAAATAAATGCTTTTCTTCTTAACTCTTGAAAAAAAAAAAAGTAACAAAATCCACAAAAATATTAGCCTTCACAACTGTTTTCAACAGTGATAATAACAGTGGTGGACGAAGTACACAAATCAAGTACTTGAGTAAAAGTAGAGATACGTATAATAAAATATTACTCCAGTAAAAGTAAAAGTACTCCTTTTTCAATTTTACTCGAGTGAAAGTACAAAAGTACTCGATTTTTTATGTACTCGAAGTAAAGCTACTCCGTTACTGTCCACCACTGGATAATAATGAGAAATGTAAAAAGTACTCAGCCTGAAGTAGGGTTGGGTGATAACGATATTTATCGCAATATTTTCCTCGATAAAACGATTCGATAAATGTTTCTTTGTAATGTTAAAGGGATAGTTCACCCAAAAAAGAAAATTCTGTCATTAATTACTCTGAGTATCACATACGTAAACAACATATGTTGTTTCAACATATGAGCCTGCATTCAAGCAGGCTCGGATAACGCCACTGCTCAAAAAACCTACATTAAACACTTCACTTACAAATAGCTACAGACCTGTCTCTCTCCTTCCATTCGTAGCGAAAACCCTCGAAAGAGTTGTTTTCAACCATATATCATTGTATCTTTAATGTAAATGTAAATGTAAATATGTACGCGGATACGTTGTTTACGTTCACATCAAGGCGTAAACAATGTTAACAACGCATCATATGCTACGTATGCTATTTTTCTGAGCCTTGATCGTGTTAGGATCCTTGCTGTCTATGGGAGGGTCAGAGAGCTCTCAGAATTCATCAAAAATATCTTAATTTGTGTACTGAAGATGAACGGAGGTCTTACAGGTTTGGAACGACATGAGGGTGAGTAATTAATGACAGACTTTTCATTTTTGGGTGAACTAACCCTTTAATGGGCCAAAAGTGGAACGAAAGAGCGCTAGGCATTTGAACCGTGCCACAAGGACCGTTTATCCACTTGGTTCAAAATTCAAACGGCAGCGCAGTGCGAGCTTACTAGAGCAGATGCGTTTACTTGCTGATAAATCTGTCACGTGACACTTAACATAGCTGTGAGATCCAGTGTGAAGCGCTTTAATTCAGCGAAGAACACAAATGACTTGGCGATTTAAACTAATTTAAAGCCAGATGAAACAACTCTGACAAACAGGAGAAACACTGTGCTCAATGATACAGTCAGAAGACTTTTCAATCTACAAATTGCCATCATTTACCATGAATTTACTATAGTAACACTAACTGCACCATGGTATTGTGGCAGAAATGTGGGATTGTGGTTATCATGATCTAAATATATGCTACTATGGAAGACCAATGGTTAATTTTAATAAAACTCAAACAGTCAGAATAATTACATTTCACCATATGATAATGAGGTAATAAATATTTGAAATTTATTGTGATAATTATCGATATCGACTGATATGAAATATTTTATCATGGTCCTTTTTTTGGCCATATCGCCCAGCTCTTGCCTGAAGTTACTTTTATTCTAAACTTTCTGAAATCTCTTTTTTAACATACATTCTGTTCTAACTAGGGGTGTGCGATATATATCATCTGCGATAATATCGTAATTGTTGTTTTATAACCCCATATATAACAGCCAGACGTGTCATGTGAAATTAAAATCTTACCGCAGGGCGTTTGGGCTGGAAACCGGAAGGATTTTCACTGACTGGGTTCATGATTCTTCCGTTGCTGTCCTACCACCAGAAGAAATCCTGAGGAAATAAAAATTATAGATTATAAAAATTGCATACTGTTTATCAGGAGGTGCATTTCAGTAGCTCTAACACCCCAAGTAATACAAAACAAAAGATACACATGATGCAACAAGAAGCAATGCACATCTTTAAATGAGAAAGAAAACTTGAAGCTGATTATTGAAGCTGATCAGCTGTGGTCACAGCTTCATGAAATGTCTGCTTTTGTGTTCCTCAGCAAAAAACAACAGCATATGGGTTTGAAATGACAAGGGAGAATAAATAATAACAATTTTCACTTCTAGACAACCTCTTTGATTTGAAAAAGATGAAAGTTTAGCATCAGTTACGCTGTTGTATAGTATTGAAGACATCTACTGCTGAGTGCTGACCAAACATAAAACACAGCAGGAACATTAATACTGAATTTATGAGTGTAAATGTATTTTTATTTATACAGTGGCATTTTTTCATGACAGTGTATCCTTCAAGAAAATTGAGGGAACACATGTTGGAAGTTTCTGGAAGTGTCTTTCACTGCATCTGCATTAATATTGAAATCTAATGACCTTCCCCTATCCAATAATAACAGTACAAGCATAAACAAGACCAGGCCTAAAATCTTATTCTCTCCAGCACCCTCAAAAACTTCATTATCCCTATCTCTCTCTAAAGCTGAGTGTGTCCTGGCAGAATATTCTGGCTCTCACACTGTTCATCAAACTTTGCCCCTGTAGCTACAATTATTTCATGTCCGGCCATCTCCATATCTCTAGTTAGTCCTGTTTTCATATCTCATGCCTTTTCTCCACATTTGCCTCAGCATTACAGAAATAAACACAACTATGCATGTTTCATTTTGTGCATTATCATCTTATGAAATGTGTCAGAAAACATTTCTGAACTTCTCAAATCTGTATGATTATTATTCTGTGGAACATAAAAGAAGATACTTTGAGAAATGTTTCCATACAATGGAAGTCACTGGTCACCAGAACAGTCTGGTTCTCAACATTTTTCAAAATATCTTCTGAAACTGCATGTTTCCTTTTTTTTGGTGAACCATCCCTTTAAAATCAATACGTTTATAGCTAGCAACCTGAATAATAACAAATCCACTTTAATGGCACAAACATTTGAAGATAACTATCACCCCAATGAGTACTAAAGTTACCATCACAGCAACAGAAGAGTGCACATTAAGTATGTTCAAGGGACCTTGCATCTGCACACTAAAGTATGTTTCTGGCCTTGTTTCTTTCTCATTATTCAATTTTCATTAAAATCTGAGCCAAGGGAGGAACAACAATGCCAAAAGCTCTGGCAGAAAATGGAGAGGGTACCTTCAGGTTTCTGAATTAAAAAAATATATATATGCACTGATATGTACAAAAAACTTGGTGAGTCATTGCTGTTATGCAGTACCTTTTGAACTCAATGACTCGGTAAAACTTTACTTTCATGAATATGGCCATTCACTTTGTGTTTTTCACATTCCATTTACTTAGTAGCACTCATTTCATTTCTAATGAGCACTTTGTATGCAGCACAAATACATTTACTAAGTAGTTTTGTTTCATGATTCAATATACTAAATCATTCCTTGGGGAATTTGCAGACTATGAATATGTCTGTCACCATCTTTATCTGCTAATACTTGCGAACATTAGGCATTTTCTTAATTCTTTCTTAACAGTCTGGTCATTCTGACAATGGATCAGCAGCATACTGATGTCACTCAGCTCGTCTTGGCAATCTAAATAACTCTACATAAAGCTATATCAACCGACCAACTGTGTTGGATTTAAAGGAATTAATTCTATGTATTAGTTCTACTGTTGATTTTTTTTAACTATCAGGACAGATTGGTTTTGAGTAAAAACACTGCAGAGAATTGCTGAGACTTCATTATTGTGCTATATTTTCCCACTAATATCCTACTTGGGGGATGTCCTGTCATAATTTACTCATGTTCCAAATTCATTTGACTTTCTTTATCCCATGGAACACAAAAAAATGACATTCTCAGTCACTGTTCACTTTCATCACAATTTTTCCCTCAAACAATAACCGTGAATAGTGACTGAGAAGAAGCCCCACAGAAGAAAGTCAATACAGGTTTGCAAAACATGAGGGCAAGCAAATGATGACAGAAAGACAAACTGGCAACATGACTGTGTCAGAAAATGACAGAATTGTGTAACTGGGTGAATGTCATCACTAGAAATTAAACAGGCCTAGTTAACGAGATAAAACGAGATGATGATTTCAATCTTTAAAAAAAATGATATAAAAGAGAAATAAGACATGAAAACGTACTTCATGACAATAATGAATCGTATGTTTTTATTTTACCACACAAGTGCCGTGACTCGTGACTCATCACTCACGAGACTGAGAATGAGCCACGAGCCTCTGAAGCTCTTGAGCGGTGTTGCCAATTTGGGGATTTTGTCGCCAAATTTAGCTACTTTCTCATTGTAGCCGCGACTTCTTTTAAATTTTTTGCGACAAGGAGCTATTTTAGCTATATTTAAATAAAACTAGCGATTTTTTAGGAGATTTTTTATTTTTTACTTGGCCACACCCTGCCGTAGGCCCGTGACCTCTCACGTTTGCTCTCAATCA